TCTTCATGGATCCTTCGTGGGTGGAGCCCTCTATGGACTCGCGCAACTGTTACCCTTCGTGGGTTGAAGCCTTCATCAACGTGGATATACGATAGCACCACCTATCGGAATCACGCCAAAAATCTCCGTGTCTACATTGTGTTTGCATTCTCCAAACCCTTCCATTTACCTTCATATGCAATCTTTTACTTTCTGCTGCTACACTCTTCGAATTGCATGTGTAGGTTGATTGCTTGACTTGTCTTAATTTGCTAAAATCTGCCCACAACTAAAATAGGCAAAATGCTGGATTTTTTATTTGGTCAAGTAGTCTAATCAACTCCTCTAGACCTACTTTCGATCCTACAACACATCAGAGCTGATAACTTACTTAGCCTAGGCCTGCTAACTTTTTGCATAAAAAAATCGTCAAAACATATCAACATGTGATCTAATTTAATAGGTCTCGACGCGGCGAAGTTTTTATGTGAAACTGATTTTTTGATCGGACCAACGATTAAACTATAAAACATTTTAAAGTTTCAATATATGCAGAATCTAGGATGACATCTAATTTCTCTCTCTAATGCACGCTCGCATGTGCATGCGAAGAGAATTAGTTGGAGGAACTATTTTTATGCCCCGGTATTTTTACGTAAACACAACATAATAAGTTATACACAACTGACATGATAACTTGCGTAATACATGTAACTTTTTACCCAACAAAGTCATCAGAATTCAGAACATATTAACATGGGATCTAGTTTTGAAGGTCTCATCACGGCGAATTTTTTATGTGAAAACATTTCTTCAATTGAGCGACGGATTGAGCTACAAAACATTTTAAATTTTAAATTTTATTAGAATCTTTGCCGACATCAGCTTTTTTTATCTCACATGCATAACATGCACACTTAATTAAATCTATTGAAGGCAACTAGTAGAGGGGAGTCGCGCGGACTAGAAAATCGCTCGACAGCATGCGCATCAATTGAGTGCATGTCAGTTCGGTAATGCCGCGTGTTCGTCTCTGTTCCTAAAAACGAAACGATTGGAAGCTATCGTTGTCCAAAAAAGATAAAGTAGGGTGAGGAGATTTGCAAAAAGGTAAATACATCTGAAATCATAGTATTTGTATTTAATGGTCAGTTTGGTGCATAAATTTATAAAATACATGTTACCGGTCATCTAAGTTGTCATCTCGTTCGTATCCGGTGCTTCATACCATATCCCTACGCATGCCAACGTCGCATGGCTACTGTCAGTGGCTGAGGTCGGGTTTTTTGTAAGAAAGGACCCATACATTCTATTTATTTACACAAAACGTCTTCAAATGAAATGAAAAATGCTGCAACGCATGATGAGATTCAAAGCGACGAGCTACCACGATCCGCCTGGCATAGAGAGCCACTAGACCAACTAACAGTTGACGTTAAAATGTACGGTTAAAGCTATTTAACACGTACTGCATAAACTAAAATAGATATTAAAACAACAAAAGGGTGTACTGAATATGGAAAGCCCCAGTTCGATACTATGACCTCGTGTACAAGTGACAACCATCAGGCCACAATGACACTTATTAATATCATAAACAAATTTTATATTGTGTATTGTTATTTTTTTCTATGTAAGATAGATTTTAGTTTAGTTTATTAGTGATAAATAGAGATAAAAGTGTTATCTATTGTATAGTTTAAAATTTATGTACCCAAATGCGAACGAACTATGTATAATTTTTTTACGCACATGTAGATTTTTTTTGCACATAGTATCTAACTTTAAATTTATATTCCCCGCAGAAAATAGTGCAGAATTAATGAATGCAAATTCTTTTGGACAAACCAATGAAATTTTTGCAGTAATGGTATTCGAAGGAGAAAAATGAGTGAACATGTAATATAATAACAACAAAACAACATTTTTACCGTATGACATTTTACTCATTTTCCATGTATTATAATAAGAAATCATAGCTGGCCACTTGGCATGAATGGTAAGCTATATCAAAAACAATGAACAATAGATAATTGTGATTTCACCAAAAATCATAGCTGAAACTATGAATTGGAAAATGTAAAGAACCAAGTACACCACATATTTTGGAACATATGGAACATTGGATAATTAGATAAGAAGGGCACGATACAACCTTGGCCGGCAAGCTGATTTTTTATTTTTTTTTGAAACGGAGGCAAAAGATTTGCCTCATTCATTAAATAAGAGAAGAATAGAGTTTTTACAAGCCCCAGTTTCTTAGCCCCCGTGGTAACCCAAAGATTGGCCTCAACAACTATCCTATTAAGGATGATTGGCGGCGGGGCACTCTTGTGCGGGAAAACTCGGGCTTTTCTCCCGTTTCAAATAGAGCAAGAGACAAGCATGGCGAGGAGGTCATATTACTTGTCCTCGGCGTGCGTGGCTGCGTGTTGTGATATTGACCTTACAAGCTCTTCTATGTGATCGCGACTGTAGCATGGCCAGCACGGTAATTCATTCAATGCATCTAATTTCACACTGAAACGTGTATGTATGGAGTACATCTGTATCTTGACAAATCTAAAACAAGTGATTCAGGACGTAGGGAGTACTTTTTCCTGTATAGTAACATTAATAACACGCACGAATTTGAGTATGTAAATCCTTATCGGTCTGCCCGGCGGCATGTATGTCAGTATGTGCGGGTGCACTACCTGGGCATGCAGTCATACTTATTAGATCAGCCTTGATGTTTCGCTGACGCTTCATCTTTCTCGTTAATTAATTTAGTTTAAAGGAGCAACCGGTAGGTACTTGCTACAAATGCATGATCCCCACGTCGCACCAACAACCGTATTTTTCAGTTAAAAAACGAATATTTTAATTTATCTACTTTAGTGGCAGATACAATATGTTTCTGTTTCTTCATCAGCAATATAAATCATCTGTTTTGTAAAAGTTTTAAATAGCGGCTATAGCGCCGCTACAGCTTATAGAGAGCACACCACTAAAGCTAAGTACTTTTAACGTTAAATTGAAAATGAATGCTAATACCTTGCTAATTTCTGCTACACCCTCAAATTTGGAGGCTAAACTACTGTTTAGCAAAAAAAATCTAGGTTTTTTGAAATCATGTCGTAGCGGACAAAATTTATATCTCACGGAGCAACAAGACCGCTTACCACAACCCTATCCTATTCATTCCTCACCAAAATAGATGTGGTGACCGTTGAGGTCGAACAAGGGACCCAAGTGAGATCCACAAATCTCTACATTTGTCTTCTTCTTCCTTTTTTGTTTTTTGATAGGGTTATGATGTAATGGCGCAAAGCTTGGTTATTGAATTTTGAGGCCCAATCAATGCTTTTGGTTTTTTTTTCTGGCTGAACTTGTGTATGTCAATATATGATATATCATATATGATGTCTGATGTTGTATGCTTATTCTTTTGTGATTTAAACAAAAAAACTCGTTTTTTTTTCTCGAATAGGCATAGCGTGCGTATCATATATTAAAGAAGATAGGGGTAAAGAGCCCAATCTAAGTCACCGGTTTGGTCCGACTTGCATCTGGCCAGGGAGGGTGATGGCGTGAGGCCCTGACGTCCTCAGCTGGATCGGGATTCTCTGCCTCTATCACGCAAGGATTCCAGAGCGGCGGGTGCAACAGGGATCGCGGCAAGACTGATACCTATGAGGGTCTGACCGGCAGTTGCAGGCTTGGCCGGATATACACAGTGGTGTTCAAGGCCGGCGAGGTGGCAATCAGAGGTGAAGTGCTCTATCATCGGTGTTGGTCGAGGATTAACACTTCGACGTGGCAGCGGCCTCATGGCAGACTGCGATAGCGAATGAGAGGTCTTTGCAAGTGATACTCTCCAAGATCCAGTGGTTGCTTTGGTGCTGTTATGCAATCTATGGACGATGTCATGACGCAGAGGGTATGGTTGCGCAGTGGAGGCTGTCAGTTTTCTAAACCAGCACATGTAGCTGATAGGATAGTGGAAAAGTGGTGGCGACAACACATGCTTGACTTTGATGGTGGTGCTTTTTGAGTACCCCGGTCTTGAGCTCCGGGATGAAAACCTAGGTCAGAACCATGTCGGTTATACCTGGCAATGACGATGTTTCGTCGTTGTTACCATGTTGAAGGCATTGCTCGGAGATGCTCGGACAGTTTCTTCAAGGTGAAAACCTAGAATTTGCTCTTTGGTGGTTGGTTCCGGTGACGGCGGTGCTCGAGCATCGCTTCCTTCCTGAGGACGTTGCTGTTGAAGAATGTCGATGTCCTTGTGGTGTGAATATTGTCATTGTTGTAGGTTGTCGATCGCGATTTAGAACGCTTCGGGACGGGTTTTTTCTCTCTCTCTCTCGCTTAGGCATAGCTTTGGTCTTATATGGCTTTGCTATTTGCCGGCGATTTTTTGTGTGTGTGTTCGTTAGTGTTGGCTGTGTGCATCCTATCTATGCAGAGGTTGGGTGTGTCCTCATTATGTTTGTATTATCTTGATGCTTCATTTTGAGTAATAAAATCCACCCTTTGTCGAAAAAAAAGACCAATCCACCTGGCGGTGTTGCAGATTACAGACGCATTGTACACCACCACAGCCTACCAAATCCTCCCAGCGAACTACTCGCCCCTAGCCCACCTCTCCACTTCGGCGAAGCGCACCTTCCAATTCCCTTTTAGCTTCCCAGCCTGTACCCATCTTCTGTCTCCGTCCACTATCCGTGTCGCAAGGACCGGAACCGATGGCGAGGCTCCGTCGAAGACGATGGCATTCATGTGCTTCCACCAAATTTTTTTCAGGCAACTTGCACGTAGTTGGTCTTGATTTTTGTCCATACATACATGGAGCTAAGATATGTTTCTCTACGTGAGTGGCAGATATATTTCATTTTCTTAACCAGCAATAAAATATCCGATGTTGCCTATATATGCATGGTCGGGGGGCTATAGGCCGATGGTACCGTTGCTCCAAACGATAGAGGCACTGAACCACCAGCTAATATTGGCAAGTCGGCAAAGCTGGTCGATTAATGGGGCTCAAGCTCCCCGCAGCAGTACTGCTCTCCCAGGTGGCCAAGCTAGGCTCCCTCCTCATTCTCTTCCTTCTGGTGCTGCTGGTGCCTGCCTTCCTCAGAGTCCCCTATTGCTACCTCCTCTTCAACGCCATCGTCCTCGCCCTGGGCATCCAGGCCGGCCTCCTGCGCCGCGGCAGCGCCATGACCTCTTCCGACCCTATCGCCGACGAAGACCGGCACCTGTCTTCGCAGACTGGTCAGGCTGTCACGCCTGTCAGTATCTTGGTTTCACCGATTCAGAGGGCTGGATTAGTCCATCCCAACGACCAGACGGCGGTTGCAGATGATCGTGCGGCATCTGCCTTTGGAGCAAGTAACATAGTTGACCTGAAGACCAAGACCAAGAAGGTGGTGCTGACGATGCTGATGAAGAAGTGCCCATCGGCGGCAAGCATCTTCTTCCTCAGCGCGCTGAACGGAAGCCGAGTCAGCGGAGAGGAGCAGGCATCCGAAGAGAAGCAGGAAGATCGTAAACTCGACGTGGAAATGACTCGGCAGGAGCTGTTTGCCAACACGGAGAGGTTCATCGGGAACTTCCGCAAGGAGCTCAGGATGCAGAGGCAGTAGCTCTCGACGCAAGCTTTGTCTTTCCTTTTCTTATTACTAGGGTGATATACTGTACTTGATAGGCACGCTTCGCCGCGCCGGTAGTATCTGTTTGTCCGTTGCTACTAACTTTTTGTTGTGTTGCGTGAGAAAAACATGAGGTGAGCGAGATGCGCCTGTAGTTTTGGTAACAAGTATTGAGGAAATCCACTTTAGCAGTTCAACTCTATCATTAAGTAGTTCAGCTTCCAGGTTACATCTAGACCTGCTATACAATCTGAGATGTATAAAGTTCAACTTTGTTTATTTCTACAGGACCGATAACTTCCTTGTTCAGCCATCATGTTGAGGTGCTGAGATGTAGTGTCAGTACAATCTGCTATAAGTAACCTCTTCGATACGTTTTAGCTAGCCACAGGAGCAACATGTAAATAGGACAACAGGAGTATCAAAGATGAGAGGAGAAATATTGTTTAGTGAACAGAAGTTCTACAAAAGTTCCTGCAAAACGAAAGAGGAGAAAGGCATGTCATACATGTGTGAAATCTGCATTAAGTCTCTCTCACATGTCTCACCGTTGTGAACATAAATCCCGGTCTCAAATGAGGCACATCATAAGCAATATCCTGTTGTGGAAGCGTCATCTGACAATCCCAAGCTTCCTCCTAAACTCAAAGTGGGCCCTCTTACATATAACAGTCCAAACTGAAGTAGCTGAATCTACTTTCTTCGTTCCAAAATGTTTGAAGTTCTAGGTTTTGTGGTAAGTTAGAAAAAAAGAGGTTTGACTAAGTTTATAGAAAAATATATAAATCTCTACAACACCAAATTAGCTTCATTAGATTCATCATAACATATACCTTATACTATATATTAGAAATTGTAGCTTTGAAAACTGTTTATTGTAGATATTAGATAATTATTTTTCTATAAAATTGGTCAAACTTATAGAAGTTCGTCTCAGGACAAACATAGAACTTTAAATATTTTGAAACGGAGGGAGTGGAACACATGTAAACTAGTAAGCTATCTGAGGGTCAAAGATAAAACAATCTAAACATAAGTTGCTAACAATAACACACATGCAAATGCCAAGCGATATATAGCGGCGAATCTTATTCCACACGCGAGTCAGGAGGGGTAGGGAACCAAAATTGCACCCTGCATCTGCGGTAATTGGCCCGCCCATCTATTTTTTTTACTCTATCTTCACATTTGTTTTGGGAAGGTTCTAGAGCCTTACATGAACTGTTTTTTTTTTCATCTATGTTTTTATTTTAAAATTCATGCATTTTTTCAAATCTGAAAATATCTTGTGAAATACTGAACATTTATTAACATCTGTGAATATTTTTAAATTCATGAACATATTGTAAATTAACAATTTCATAAAAAGTTGATTATTTTAAAAATGTTATCAACTTTTAAGTTTTTCTGAATTTCAAAAATCTGGATTCAAAGAACATTCACAAATTCAAAAACATTCGTGAGTTCGGAAAGCGTTCATTAATTCAAAAAATTGTTTGCGGTTCCAAACAATATTCAAGAATTCAAAAAAAATTACAGAATAAAAATAAATATTCACAAGGTAAAAAATGTTTGCAAATTTTTAAAAGCATGCGTGATTTGTAAAGTTGCTCAAGAATTTAAATATATTTAAATATTTAAAAAATCTACACAAATTCAAAAAATGTTTATGAATTTTAAAATAGAGATGGAAAATAATAATAAAAGGCATAAGAGGAAAATACCTCAATAAAATCCGTGCCAAGGAAGCCAGAAAAAGAAAATGTTGAACCATTAAAATCCCTTGAACCTCACTAAAACTGTTTGGAAGATAGAAAAATATAACAAACAAAGAGCTGTGTGGGCTTTCCATGTACCGCGCGTGATGGGTGCGCTTTGCTTGCTGATCCCTCGACTACACAAGGAATAGGAAATGCAGAGAGCAACTGGTTGGCGAGCCCTCCTTCAGGAGCCTTCCAACGATCACTTGGAGATGGGTTGGGAGCGCGCCAAGTGGGCTCCCTCCAAATTTTATTTTATTTTTCGCATGCGTTTTTGACTTCTTAGATGTTTTTTCCTAGTTTTTCTTGAGGGGCCAGGGCAGTGAGAGCGGGCTCCAGAAGCGGTCCGGACTCCAGCATGGCCCACCTCACATTATCACCATATATTTCTTGGATTCCGTGCGCGGCGGGCGGGCGATCTCTTCTCCCTCCCCTGTTTCTCTCTTCTCAGCCGACGCCCGCCGAGCGATTAGATTTCGGCTATCGACGGTTTATTCAATTACGGTCCTACATGTCAGTGAAATTGCAAGACAACGCGTGTCCCCTTTGGTGAGCGGTGTGCGAGCCGGACTGTCGGGGTTGCGACGCGTACGAGTCGTAAGTGTGCCGCCTTTTCCTTTAGAACTTGTGAAGCGTAATATTTTCGCACGATCGATCGATAGAAATCCAGAACAAAATGACGAGGGCGGTGCTTTCCGCTCATTAGGCGGGCTAGTTCGAGTGATATGACGTGCTACAGTGCCGTCCACTTGCTCCATTTTATGTAAGCAAGAGTTTACACTTTTACGCGGGAGGAGTGTGAAACACCGCGGATCTGATTTTGATCGAGAGATAACTGTTCCCTGCCAAATGAGGGAGGATTGTTAGCGATTATAGCAAGATAGTTAGGGCATCTCCAGCGCTGGCCCACAAATTTACACCGGCATCTGTCCGAGGACACTGATGGATGCCATCCGATGCTGCCCGCATACCTTTCGACAACTATATGAACTAACCGGACGAAATTTGTGCAAACAAAGCAAATTTCAAATTAACCGGATGAAATTCATTACAGTTCGTAAACTTTTCCTACAAACTGGATGAAATTCATTACATATTTCGCACAAACCGTTCTAAACCTACTGTAAACCTAATCTAAACGATCGTCGGCGCCCGACCACCAAGTCCGGCCATGAACCCGAGAAAAAAAACAGCATGGTAGAGCCCAGCGTAAAAAAACAGCGTGGTAGAGCGTCTCCACTTCTTCCACTTCTGGGTCGGAGACCACACGTAGTAGTACTTAGTTGTATGAATGATACAAAGTGCGACCTGAAGAGAAAGACACGTCTAGTTGGAAGGTCTTGGGGCATACACGTAAACAAATATAAAAGTTAATATGTGCCTTCAACTAATATAGTAGTAGTAGAGTACTTACACACGTACTCCATAACATCACCGTGCATTGCACGTACAACATTTAGTGGTAGTACGTAGTAGTAAGAGACAAATGCCGCCCAAGAGTTCCCTTCTCGACCTACTTTTGGGTGTTCGGTAGAGTGTATGGAGGGTGCATGAGTCCACACTAGTTTAGCACAAATACACTAGAAGCATGCATGAAAAGAGCATGCATGAATAGGGGTGTTGAGTTGAGCATGCATGAAGAGGGAACAATTATGCTGAGACGAGAACGCAACCAACAAGCACACCCTGTATGCCATGCATGTTCATACCATTTGTGCCTTTCTACTTCACTTACTGCGCTACATTACTCAGGTTCGTACATCCACTCCTGGGTACATGTCGTCTCGTAGTTCCAGTGCCACGTGTTCTTCATATAGATGGAACGATCGTTGCATAACACGTGCGCCTTGATGCTAGATGTCTCGCGTGTTGGCAAAAGGATGAACAAAGCTCACGTAAAAAAATAGAGTGGAAGAACATAGATTCCGGACGATCGAGAAGGAGCAAGGAACCTCGTGGTGGAGCGTCTGCACTCATAATATTTAATATTATTCAGCGATATAAAATTAACCAATCATCTCCACAGTGGACTGGAAGAGTACGAAACACGACAGCCCAGTGTAGTTACATCATATTAGTACATGGCTAACCCACGCTATCACCATATGTCTTGGCTTCCGCGCGACACCTATCTCTAGTAATCCAGCAGCCTGTATCGCTTCTCCCTCCTCGTCTCTATCAAAGTGCGGCGGGCTGGCGTTTCTGCCGTCTATTGAGGTCGGTTAACTATCACATGTTAGCGACATGCCAAGAGCATTCTAAAAAAATTCCTTTCACGTTCCGTTTTCAAAAAGAAAAAAATCCTTTCCCGTACGAATTTGCCTGTATGCTTTGAGCAACTTGCATGTCCTATACTGCTCCTGTTTGATACTCTAACTTAGCTAGAGGTTAGAGTAAGTCATGACTAACCCTGAACTAACTGTAGCCAAAGAGGTGTTTGGATGACAGGGTTAGGTTGACAATAAATGCACTTCATGGAGAGAGAGAAGTGATTTTTTAGTGGTCTCAATGAGAACTATTTCCAGTTAGCACCTCTTGGGTGGGATAGTTTTTTTTGGTGGGTTCGGTGCAACTTGCTCCAATTTAAACCCTCATGCTTGGATACTTTAGGGCTATTTGATCCCCAACTAGCTCAAACTAATTCTAACCCATGGATCCAAACAGGGCCTATGGCCAGTCTCGACGCGGAGCAGTCGCATGCACCGGGAAGTGGCGCTCTCTCGGCCGTCGCGCCACATCAAAGCTGACGCCAGTGAGAGGTCGCCTCCGCTCTGGCCGGGCATTAATGCGGCACTGATGCTCCAGGCGACGCTGACAGTTTCATGCGGGAAGCGTGCGCTGGCAAGGGAGTATAGGTTTTGAACCGTTTCAGGTGTAGTAGTAATGGTAGTTTGCAAAACTACTCAATTATTGCACTCAGTTTCCTAAGAAATTGTGGTAAAAAACCTTACTCCACAGCCCGCTTCCCTTCTCCTTCCTGCTCGTGATTTACGTGGCCATGTTAACGTGGTTGTGTCAAAAAGATGTCACTTCCTACTCGTTATTTGCGTTATATAATTACAAGCAAGATTCTCGTGCATTGCACAGAACATCAATATGCATTTTTTTTACAAAACACCTGTTGTGATTGACCCATGCAGGAGTAATCCCATGTGTAAAAACTAATAATATCTCGAGAATGTCATCGAAAAAATGAAAGATGAGAGATAAGGCGAGGAGGAGTGGAGCGTGGTG